ACTACTGTAAAGCTTATCAGTTTGCTGAAAGAATATGTAAATTCACTATGTGAAGAATTCAGTAAAATTGAAACTCAAACTCATCAGCTTTCAAATATGGTAGAAGAACAGTTTAGGAGTGAGATGTCCAGAAAGAGAAAAAGAAAGTTGGCAAATAATGAGACTTCTGAAGGTAAAATGAGTTTATCTGGAACTCAGAAATTTTTATACCGATAGTTGACAAATTACAAATGTTTTTGGAAAATTGGCTTACTGCATATAAAGCGACAGAAATGAAGTTTGGTTTTCTATCTAATTTCAAAAATTTAAATAAGACAAAATTTTTACTGCAGCTAAAAGATAGAGAGGTATACTCTCCAAATCTAGACAGCTCTTTTTCCCAATTAAGTGGTAGAGTTTGCAAATTGTTTTGATAATGAAACTCCATCTGCCCAACAATGCACCAAAGAAATCAGAAAAAAAAAATATCGAATCTGTTTTTCCTAATGTTGACATGGCATTAAGAATATACTTGTGCCTATCTGCCAAGAATTGCAGTGCAGAGAGAGCTTTTCTAAAATGGCTAGAGTAAAAAATGGATTAGGTACTTTGATGTTCAATGAACGCTTAAATGACCTTTACTTTCTCACAATAGAAAGGACATTGCTGAGGCAAATAGATTATGAAGCTGTAATTAGAATATTATTTCCACCAAAGCAAGGTAAAAACGATTTTAGGATAATTTTTGGCATGCTTCCCTAATGTTGTACAATAACTATATTGTTTTTTATGAAACTAATTCATTCTTACTTACCATGTTGTACAAGTAAATAATTGTTATTATAATGGTTTAATTTTAATATATCATCCTTAAAAGTTAGATGCATCATATTCTAATTTATTTTGAATAATTAGCTCATATTCTGTAATTAACTTAATATGTATTAATTATAATTAACTTCAATTTTTTTGTACCCTATTCAAGGGGCCTAAAAAATAAGTGCACCAGGGCCTCACTACCTTAATGAGGGCTTGCCCATACATGTTCTTTGTTGTTATATTGCCAGCACGGCTTCCTTCTGTGGTGCCCTTCCCATCTCTTCATCCTATGGCAACTATCCTCTATTTGTGACTTTTTTCCTTCCACCCTTACCAATTGGGTTTGGCTTTTAATTTGATTGGCTTATTCTTTCTTGTCTTCTTCTTTCTGTAACTTGTTCCAGGTGTCTTCTCACCAGATTAGGCACCTTACTTTTTCCCTGGCATCTTATCTCCATCATCCATTGAAGGAAATTCTTCAATCAGACATGTGGACCACACCACACACATTCATCTCTCACTATCTTCATTGGATAGCTGTTTCTTCCTTTTGGGTTATCATCTTTCACCTGTTGCCATTCTTCAACTTCAGTGAGACTGTAAATGGGTAAGTTATCATTTTGAAAATATACCTCTTATTTTTTAGGGGCATATCCCTTTTTGTTTTTAAGGATCCTGCTCTGTGGTGATTGGTGCCTGTCCAGGTATACTAAAACTAGTCAAATCTGCATTGTAAGGCCATGATGACTTAACAGTTATAATTTCTATGGCCACTAAGTGCATGCTGTTGATATGGGGTGTTCCACAAGGTCACTCAAAGGTTTTTCCTCACAATATATTTGCTTCATTAATGTGCTCGTTCCAGACTGTACTAACCCATGGACATCATGAATAAAGCAGGAAGGGGATAGCTGCCCATCCATGTCATTCCTAGGGTTGAATATATCAGGAGTGGTCTGTTCTTCAAATAGGTTTTTGTGGTCACCCATTGCACTGTCTCCAGTGTTGACATTCCTCCGGACCCTCCATTGGAGTATGGGAGCCCTTACTACTTTCCAGTTCCAAGCTGCTGGTACCCCCCCACATGGATGTCACTTCTCAGTGGCTGGGTTTTGGATTCAGAGTTGGACCAATCAACATAAGTTGTCACACTTGTATTACAGGTGTCTCTGTTCCTTCACTCAGATGGACTCCTGTTCATTGCTACTGTGTTGTGGGTCACAGTGGATGAACATGCAGATTATTACAGTTCTTCCTCTTGTGCTATCTGTTGAAGATTTTCATATTCTGAGGATGTTACTGCACCAGGGATGTTTCCTGTCTGATTAGTTTTGAGTGGGATATTTCACAATACAGGGACATCTTTCTTAATTCGATCATCCTGATGTTGGGATCCTGGATCAGTAAAAGTTTTATGACTTTGCTATCACATGCCCTGTTCACAGACCAGTGGGTATAATATGTCCCTTTGGTCTGCTGAACTTGATATGAACACAATATAATCGTCTTTCCTACCCCCACCAGATGGCTGGAATTTGGATTGCTGTTGACTTACTGATTGTATGTTTCACATCCTACACCCATGTGGATGTTGGTTCCTAGTGGCTGGGTCTTGGATGCAGTTGACTTTCCATGTACAGCCTGTTGTGCTCTAGCCACTCTACACCTTGGGGCATATCCTTCTTACATTCTGATATCAAGTGGTTCAGATCCCTATCCAACCATTTTTCTCTCCCTCTTGCAATTTTCTACCCATGTTTGCAACACCTCTTTCCACACTAGGCATAGAGTATATCTAGTATAAATGCAGTCTCCCAGGTATGATCCTCTACTGTGAGGATCTCCTCTTTTCTGGGGTTCTTTTGATGCTTCTTTTGTTCCCTCACACCAGTCCCTCCATCTACTCAATGTGAGGTTCTAGCTACATCTGTGAGTAGAGATAACGTACCATATCGTAAGTTATAATTTTCCTATAATGAAAATGTATTTCCAGTAGGTACTTACCTCCTCCTCCCACCCTTCCTCCCCACTGAAAACAGTGCTTTCGTTTTCTGCCAAATTCGAAGTGGGAGCTCAAGATTTGTGGTATGTGAAAATATTTTTGTATATAGAGGGCAGCACTGAACGAGAATAGCTATATCTGTGAATAGAGGTTAGTACCTATCATAAATACATTTTCAGTATAGGAAAATTAAAACTTTTAGCAGCAGTTTTTTATGCCAAAGCATGCTGATTTATGTTAGACTATTTTTTCAAATACAGTTGTTTTAAGATACACTCATATTGATGATGCACTCCAAGTGTTGTTGTTCTTAAACTTTTGAAACTTCAGATTAAATTATTTTCATGTTCACCCCAACACCCACCTTACCATTGAAGATAATGGAAATTTCTCCATAAATGTTTGAATATTCACATTATTAGAAAATCAACTGCATTTGACATTTGCTTTTTTAGGAAACCAACACACTCGGAACAATATGTGAACTGGAAATACACGTAATATCCACAACAAAAACTTGGAACCTTAAACTGTATAATTCAAATTGCACTTGACGTACATACAACAGTGTAAGTGATGAATTAAGAAAAATATCTGAGCTTTTCAGTCATAAAAATTTTTAGCCTAAAGGAAAGGTTTAAAAAAAAATCAGTAAACCAAAATGAGGAAACCTTGAGATATTCAGTCCAACAATAAACCACAAAACTTTAGTACAACCACTGTCTCTTCAAAGAAATTATCCTTAAAAAAGGGACACCAAAGAAGTAATATATGAAATCAAGTGTGACACGTGTGAACAAATTTATTTAGGTGAAACTGGAAGAGAATTGAGCAAATAACCCTTAAAAGGGCTGTCATATGTTTTTAAATAGTTAAAGTAAACCAGAGACTCCATATTTGAAAACAACATTAAGATACTAGGAAAAATATTTATGCAAAGAAGAAAAACTGCAGAAGCTGTACTGATTAAAACCATCTTGGAACAAATATCCCAGAATTCCTCTCTATCTCTACTAATTATAATCCTATATTATTTCACAATACATTTTTTATTATAATGTGTTTTGTATTCTTATATTACTTTTAAATAATTATTTTCACCTATATCAAATATTAATTACTCAACAGATGCACTGCTAAGAAATAACCTTTTATTCTTGCCTTCCATTTTGTATAGTTCATAGAAAATATTTTTGTTTGCATAAAAGTAGAAACAGATTATTTAAAGCATTGTTATATTTATCAATGTGCTTAATTATCTGTCTCTGTTTAATGGTTTTATAATTAAACCTATTTTTATGAGTGTAAATGATGTGTGCAAAACTCTGAAATGTCAAATTTTCTAGAATACATTTGACATATTTTGAAATTCATATACATATTTAAGTCACACTATTAATTAACAAATTGTATGTTACAACCTACTATACTCATTATTCTTTTGCATTTGTGCCTTACCAGATATGTTAATTTTTTTCCCCTACTTATTGAAACTTAAATGGATGATATACAAGATGGTGCAAATGTTGTGCTCCATAAGGATAACAATTAAAAAAAAATTAATTACATTTCTATATTACAAATCCCTGTGGGGCATGACTTTTGTACCATCTTCTATATCTATAATAAATTGTCTTCAAAAGTCCTTAAATTTGGCATAAAGAATGCTGGACAGTTTCCTAACTAAAATATAAATGCATTTATGTAGAAAATAGTTTGCACTCTTAAAAAAAAGAAGAAAAGATGTACTTCTGGAGTTGAACTAAGATAATATAGAAAAAGGAATATAGATCAATTATCTGAAAATAGTATTGGCATTCATTAAAAAATTAAAGTTGTTTTTGGGATAATAAGCTTGATCTGCTGCTTTGTCTTGTGTGTTGTTATTTGGATTATTGTTATAATGTGGTATTTTCTGGATTGTGTATTCTGAAATTCCATGATTGATTTCTTCAGCAGTTATTAGTTATAGAGCAGTATCTAAACTACAGGGTTTGTTGTAAAGAGAAGTTAAATTAAGGTCATATTGCAGAATATGTTAAGTTTCTAAGTTTCACTAATAGTTGGACTATTTTGCCAGTTAATATTTAAGAGTATACTAGAATATTTTATCATTATATTTTGAGGAATTGTTAATATTATTTTATACAATATTTTGTTTCTGTTTTATAAACATTTTCTTATTTTATGCATATTATAGAATACTCTGGTTAATAATGAAAGGAAAGACTTGGAGCCAGAAGTTGTGGAAAGTGATGATTTCTTACAAAATCTTCTTGTAAGGTTGGTGCTATATATATACTTTACATGAATTAATGATATATTAGTGTAGCAATAGATTAATTTTACATCCAGTTATGTAGTGTTTTTCTCATTTTCTTTATTGACAGTATATTTTTGATAGGTTCATGTAAAATGTTTCTGATAGAGTGCTTTGTTTGTGATAGTCAGTATACAGGTGTTGTGATATGCATTGAATATGAGTTCAAGCAGAAATCACCTCAAAAGGCAAAAAGAAAGATAAAAAATCAGTTAACTAGATATATAAAATGTTGTTTTTGTTTATAATATATATTGTTATGTTTAGATTTAATTATACATGTGTGCATTAGTATGGAACAACTAAATAATGAAATTATTTTATACATAAAGTAAATTTTTGCTACTTTTACTTCAAAAACAGGCAGAAACATGAGTATGAAGAGCTTCAAAAGAGACATCAAATGGAGCTAGTAGCTTTTAAACATCGGAAAAAGCATGCTTCACCAAGAAGTGGTCATAAACGTAGTGAAAGTGCTAGTGCAGCATTTCCACATAGAGGTAACTTCCAAACAGGTAGGGACTTTGTTCAAGGTCAAATGCACCAGATAGCACAACTTTCAAGTTTTCAGCAGCAAGGGTTGTTTAGTCTAAAACAGTCTGAAGAGGAAAGGTCATGGTTTATTCCAGGCCCCTTAACTCCTGAATGGACTGCATTGTCACCAGTAGAGCCATACCACACTCCTTTTCAACATGTCCATAGTGCCCCATCTTTACCAGTAGCTTATCCACACCATCCCCATTTCAGCAATATCCCATACCTTAGAATAAACACCCTAGGAAGAGCACAGGTAGAAAGGGGAGAACACCTGAGACCCAGACTCTTACAGCGCTCCTTATCCCATGATCACTCTTACACCTTCCAACAAATAAGAGGGAGATCATTAGTATCCAGCCACCAAAACTTGCTAAACAAGTTGGAAAATTTAGAAAGTAAGGACTTTAGCCAAACTAGTCATCTCATCAGTGGAAATTCTGATTCAAACATGACATTTTACCAAATGAACCAACCTCAAATGCAGGAAGAAATGAAAGATCAAAAATATATTCATACTGGTTATTCCACTTCTTCTCCAGTTCAATCTCAGAACTCTAATATATCTCCAGTTCTTAGCCCTATATTATCACCCCCCTGCTTCAGACACATTCGTCATCCAGACAGCACAACAGGTCCAGGGTTTGCATCTCATAATATTTCCACAGATGTGTACATGACTGAAAGAAATGGTAACAAAAATTATTGTGACTTCACCTATGCCGACACTTCACTCAACCAAAACTGGCTAAATAATACATCATCCTTTTCTTCCAGAACATCTCCTAATACATATACTATATCTCAGTACCCTAGCCAGTAGCCACTGATTTAGCCTTTCAAAATTCATAAGGCATTGGAGTTTTGTCCACCATGCCTTTAGTATGATTTATATGCCACTTATACACTGCTATTTTTGTGTGTAAATGTATCATAATATAAGATGTAACTTTGTTGTAGATATTCTAGTAAAATACAGAAAATTATCAAAAATAAAAAGTAGTTTTGCTATTTTGTAGCAAATAATTCAGAATTAAGATTGTATATGTATAAGTTTGATATTACATTATTGTATTAGTAGACAAGATTACTCCACTTCATGTGTCAAAAAATACCTCCAAAAAATATTAATTACCAAATTTTTCTCAGAATATGCAGATAAACTACAAGTTAACTTAAGATTCTGTTTCTTAAATAAGTTATTATTATAAACAGAAAATGTATACAAAATCTTTCAATTTCTACAGAAAAAAAATAAATTGTGTTTTTTGTTTCATATACACACACACACACACACACAAGTACTATTTATTTTTGCTTAATTTATACTGTTTAACTTTAGGACAAAGAAGTTGTATTTCTAATATTATAGAGCAGCAAATGTTTGCAAAACACAAAGTTGTTACTGCATCTTTAATTGTTTATACCAAAGAAAGCTATTGCATATGTGTGTGTGTGTACACACACAAAAGTACTATTCATTTTTATTTAATTTTACACTGTAACTGTAGCACAGAGGAGTTTTATATGTAACATTACATAGCAGCAAATGTTTACAAAAAAACAAAGTTGTTACTGCATAATTCTAGGTAAGGAATACATTATCTCTAAATATAACCAATCCAAAATGTCTTACATAATATTTTATCCATACATTCATATAATCCAGACTGTTTCCTGTGTTTTATTTAGCTTTATGTTAGGATTAATTTTCTGTATTGCAGGAAAATAAATCTTATAGGCAGGTACTTGATTTGTTATAAATAATCTTCTAGCCATCCTCTGTGAGTAATCATACAGTATTTTATTCATTTATAATGCATGGGTACATCTTTTTTTTTTCATATTTGATGCTTGCACATTATCAATTCATTTATTTCCATATTATTCAAACTGAAAAACATTTCAAAATCACTTTTACTAGTTGATCAACTTCAAATTTCTAGCAAATGGTGAAGTGGTTAAAGATTTGTGGAAGTTTATCTAAACATTCCTCATTCCTTTACAACGTTATGTACTACAAAAAACATCTAGCTTGCAACATACTTAATAAATAAAAAATTGATATAAAAATTACATAAACTATTATGTATTATCAAAGTGTGTTCACTGCTCATGGGTTGAGACACACTGTTTATGGCTACATATTTTTTATCTACTTAGGGAAATTAAAAAAGCAAATGTTTTATAAATACCATAACAAAATGTCTGGTATTAGCCTTCATACTTTTATTTTTAGCTTGAGAAACAAAAAGAAAATACTGAAAATTGAGCAGTTTAGGTTAGAGAAGAAATTTAAGAACTGTTGTAAGCATCGTACAGAGTATTAGATTTCAGAAAACACCTAATTCTTTAATTGATTTGTATATAAGAAACACAAAATTTCAGTGAGAAAATTGATATTTAGTTTCATTTTAACAAACCATATCTGTATGCTTTGATCTATGTGACTTTTTAAAGGAGAAATAAAATGTATATAATGTACAGGAGTAATAATAAGCCTTTTAATATTAGTTTAACAAAATATACTTAAAATGAAGAATGAATATGTATGTGTTGAAATAGTGCAATAGTTTTTGATCCAGTTCTGGTATGGTGAATGAATTATTATTTCAAATTGAATACATGTGTGCATGTGTACTATTTAAATACATGGATCAACATATCATAATAACTGAAACATAAAGTACCTTGTTGCATGTAAGGTTAATTTACAGTTGTATAACATTTCTGGCTCTATTTTATCAAATAGTTCTACAAGATATTTAGAACAGAACTTGCATATTTACTCAGTTAGCAGAACACTTCTTCATATGCCATAACTGTTAGAAAACACAAAAGACTGTATGTAAATTACAAACATGTAGTTTTATTGTATTCAAGTAGCATTCACAGCATTAACATGAATAATTCCGTCTTCATATTCTACCTAGAGCCCTCTATACAAGAGTTTGGCAAACTGACTTTTGGCCAACATGTCTTACACAAACATATGTTTATATTTGTTCTGTATCAAGTTTATGCATTGATATTATCTTTTACATTTAATCCTATTTTAACGTCTCTTGTTCGTTTGTTAATTTTCCGTAGAAATTCTTTCCGAGAAACTTCTGTGATACAAGTCCTTTCTTAAATAAAACTAGTTTATTCTTTCTCAATTCAACTTTGCAATACACTTAATTTCCACAATCACTTTAACCTAAACACACGCTATAATTCACAACGAACGATTCACTCACTTTACTTACGGTGGTTATCGGTGTCTATAACTTCAATCTCCCTCTCTGCTACTCCAGTTCCGATTGATCCTCTCCTTTGTCTGGCATGGTTATATACAATCAAAAACGTGGGTGTAGCATGCACTAGCATCTTCGCGAATCTTCTAGACACTCATCACGTGTTACCAGTGTCACGTGACTTCCGCTGTCATAACACTGCCCCTTCTTTAGTATTGTTTGTCCCAAACAATAGCTACTTACATTAAACCACCAGATAATTAACAATAACTTAATCAAATGTACAGAATTTACAAACACAAAATTAAAATTCAACAAGGTTTTTCACTTTTATTGGATGTATCTTCTCCCGTTCTGGTCTCCATCTCGTTGGCTTCTGCTTCACGTGAGGTTCATCTGCTCCATCAGGAAATGTCCTATTATTGGTAATAGTCACATCAGCGAGGTAACTTCATGAAGGGCTTCACTGTTTCACTTCTCAAAACCGAGTAGAGTTTCTTCTTTGACAGAGGCTTTTTCAGGAGACACATCTTCAGCGACATCTTTTGTTCCATTGTTCACTTCGTTCCAACTGAAATGTCCTGGACCGTGATAACGCCAAAGCCTTT